CTACAGTACGCTGTCACATACAAGACAACCCCCCCTCCCCCAGCGTGCTGTAGCAACCACGAGGCCGCCTCCTTCACCAACTAATGCACTCTCGCTCGTTCCAACATCCCTCCACACAGGTGTCGATCTCCACCCCCCACCCCACCCCCTTTCTCACATGTGTCGACCCACCCCCCACCCCCACTTCCCCCCCTTCCACACACCTGTCGACATGTTCATAAAACTGTAACAGTTCCACGTGGGTGTTGATTCAGTTGAATCCTGCAACTCCAGGCTAAACTTTAATGGCATTCGGTAGCGGCTGTGTGGTAGGTGGCGGCTCTTGGCACAAGGAGGGAAGACTGAGCGCCATCTGCCAGTTAGGTTCAACTTTTCACAGGTTGAAAATTATACTGGGAAGACTGGTGAAATACTAGCCAAGGAGTTCATCCACCGTGTGTGTGTGTGTGTGTGTGTGTGTGTGTGTGTGTGTGTGTAATTACCTAAGTGTAGTTACAAGATGAGAGCTACGCTCGTGGTGATTGCTGGTGTTGACTTTTTGATGTGTAGTGCCTCGCTGATGTCGAGTCTCCTGCTATCGTTGTGTCTATCGATGATTTCTGTGTTATTTGTTGAGATTTCTCTGAGGATGGTCTGGTTGTGAGAAGAGATTATATGTTCCTTGATGGAGCCCTGTTGTTTGTGCATTGTTAATTGCCTAGGAAGAGACGTTGTTGTCTTGCCTATATACTGAGTTCTCTGGGGCTTACAGTCGCCAAGTGGGCATGTGAAGGCATAGACGACGTTGGTTTTCTTCGACTCCGACCAAACTAAATTCCAAAGGGTAAAGAAGGACACTGCAGCCGGATTCAAACCGAAGGTAAAGAGATTGATCGAAACTGTGAACGTTAAGAAATCCGGACTCCACCTGCCAAAGGTTACTTGGGAATACAAACCTGATTATGCTTATATTAATGCCTTCTGAAGATGTATATTAATACATCTTCAGAAGCCATTCCTTCTGAAGATGTATTATTAAATACGAAAGTACTTAAGGAAATTCTTGTTTCAATTCTTCCTTCGTGGTCTGACACTGTCATATACATATACATATACATATATATAATATATATATATATATATATATATATATATATATATATATATATATATCGTACCTAGTAGCCAGAATGCACTTCTCGGCCTACTATGCAAGGGCCCGACTTGCGTAATAGGCCGAGTGATTTTCTTTATTTTCAAAAAAATTCTTTCCAATTGGTTTATTTGAAATATTATTATATTATATTAGGAACATAAATTATTGACATAGTTATGTTAGTTTAGGTTATATATATATATATATATATATATATATATATATATATATATATATATATATATATATATATATATATATATATATATATATATATATATATATATATCAGAGGCCTGGTCGACGACCGGGCCCCGGGGACGCTAAGCCCGGAAACACCTCAAGGTAACCCTCTCATTCCTAGCCGGCTCACACCGGTCATCAAAATCCTCATACTTATACCTTCCTAATATCCGGAGACCAATTTGACTCTCTCAAAAAGCTGGCCCAATGTTAATCATTTTATAACACACACACACACACACACACACACACACACACACACACACACACACACACACACACACACACACACACACACACATATATATATATTACTGACAAATTTCACCATAGGTCTGTTCTGCAAAAATAAGAGTCCCACCACTGGGACGTGTCACCCCTGGCGATGTCTCCACCAACCACACAACAGCGCTCACAGATCAGAACTAATTCTCCCTCCTAGCTTGAGCCACTATCCCATCTCCTGCCCCCCACATCTGTGGCATGGCCTCTGGCCCTCCTCCAAAACTACCTATTGTGCATTAGCTTTCAAGACCATTTCCAGGTATTAGTTTCCAGTCGCCGCTGGGTCACTGAAGTTTCCCGCCAGTATCACTTAACTAGCGGACGCTCTCAGAGGCTTCCGACATATGCTGGCGTCCCAGGATACCCTCATCAATCCTACCCCCCTATACACATATCCATAAATGCTTCCGCCGGCCTCATACTTTAAGAGAGAGCCTTACTAAACGATGAGTCACAATAACATGGCTGAAGTAGTCTCAGTAGACTTGAGAATGGTCCAGGACGGACCGAAACGTCGTCGTTCCTTATGCAGGCGATGAGTCACAATAACGTGGCTGAAGTATGTTGACCAGACCACACACACTAGAAGTTGAAGGGACGACGACGTTTCGGTTCGTCCTGGACCATTCTCAAGTCGATTGTGAGAATTCAATTACCCCCCATCCACAATCGACTTGAGAATGGTCCAGGACGGACCGAAACGTCGTCGTCCCTTCGTTTTCTAGAGTGTGGATTGGTCAACAGAGCCTTGCTAATTTATTCATATCCATTTAGGTCATAACAAATGTTCCGTTTTACCCTGACGTAATGTTCCGTTTTACCCTGACGTAATGTTCCGTTTTGCCCTGACGTAATGTTCCGTTTTGCCCTGACGTAATGTTCCGTTTTGCCCTGACGTAATGTTCCGTTTTGCCCTGACGTAATGTTCCGTTTTGCCCTGACGTAATGTTCCGTTTTGCCACGATGTATTGTTCCGCTCTTCCGTGTCGTCGCCGTCATTGTTACTTTGGAAAAAAAAATTTGTTTTATTTTAATGCAGCATTCTGAGTTGCATAAAAATTAAGGTTCCTGTCATAACATTACGCGGTGTTCTTCCACTGCCATTCGTCTTGCATTAAGCAATGTTCTATATTGCTATAAAGAACAGTTCTGTGGTGGTCTTAAGAACAGTTGTCTAGTGCTCCAAAGGACGGTTTTGTGGTAGTCTAAAGAACAGGTCTGTGGTGGTCTAAAGAACAGTTTTGTGGTGCTCTAAGGAACAGTTTCATGGTGTTCTGAAGAACAGTTCTGCGATGGCCGACACAGACGACGCTACTTGCTGACATAACACAAGTGTTCCGTATTGAACAGCTGTAAACAAGGATATAACAACAAACACAGTAATACTGTTGAAAGTATAAACATTTTTGTAGACAATGCAGAAAATACTTTTGTCAGTGTAAAACAGTAATATTGGTGGTGTAAAACAGTAATGTTAGTGGTGTAAACGAGTAATGTTGGTGGTGTAAAACAGTAATGTTAGTGGTGTAAACAGTAATGTTGACTGCTGGAATAAAAATGTCGATAGTGTAAACAAAAAATAATGTTGATAGCATAAGTTTTAACGAGCGCCAACACATTTCACTCTTCAGACATCCAAAAAAAAAAACGATGAAAAACAGAAAAAAACAAGAAAAGAACATTGGAAGAGACGAAGCACGACCCGTTGAAAAAAAAAATCTCCGAAAGATTCGGTGAAAAAAATTTGGAGAACTTGTGTTCTAAATATATAAAAAAAAAAAAATTCGAACGGAAAACTTGACGACCGTATATAGCTTCAGCGTTACGAGGAGGCGGAGGGAAGTCGTGGCAATTTAAAATGAAGATTTTTCAATGGACTCTGGAAATCTTTAGGCCATCATAATGCCCCCCCGGCGAAATTTTTAGTCTCCGGGTCTGCGAGTTGCGAGGGATTATTCCTACGAAATATAATCCTATTTTTCATGAATATAATCCTATTTTCATGAATGACATACTTTCAACCGTCCATTTTTGTATCCCGTCCCTTCCTGTTACTGTGCCTGAGGCATGTCTAGAGATCTGTATGGTGCAGTGAGTATACAAACATGGTTTACCAGGATACGGTGCTTAATACATATGTATACAGGGACAATATTCTTGTTTGCTTAATAAATGTTTATACAGGTACAATATTCTTGTGGTATATGTACCGATGTATTGGAGCTATCTACCTCTCCTCTTGTCTATCAACTTGGCTACTTATCTCCTTATCTGCCTGCCTGTATTGATTGCAATAGAGGCAGGCAGGAACCGATTGGCAGGTCGTGTTGTAGGGAAGGTAAAACTCTCAGCCTGCTAGGACTCCTTCAAGGCAAGCTACACAACATATTTTAGACCAATACAGGGATATGCAGCATTTGCATGCCCTCCGCACAAGGTAAAGCATAAAACCCAAATTTAAAACATACAAAGAACAGCGCCAAGACTGGCGCTGAGCTATGAGAGTTAAACTACCAATGACCAATGGAACTAAATCTTACAACCCTACAGGATAAAAAAATAGACAAAAGGGGATATGATCACCACATACAAGATAATGAGAGTAATTACCAAGGTGAACAAGGACACTCTTCAAACTGAGAGACAGCAGAACAAGAGGACGCAGGTGGAAGGTAATACTCGTCCCCCTGTGCAGGTGGTCAATAAGTGAAATACACTGAAAGAAGGAGTTGTGGGAGCCACTTCCATCCATAACTTTAAGGCCATGTGTAAGTACCTATACCACTTACGGGGTTATTCATGCCCGTGCCACCTCTTGGGTAGCTTAATCTTCCTCATCTTCCTACCACCCACCCCCACCCCTACCTCTCCCTTACCCACAACACCCTCCAGGTCCCCCCCCCCCCCCAGCCACCAGCGCTTGAGCGCATGTACTACTAATCTAACCTAACCAGGGGGCGTTGCTCAATCTCCACTGATATAATCTTCCTCATGCAAATGGGTCGTCTACATACATAACGTAATACAAGATGTTAGTGGTGGGGAGCGGGGGCTGGTATTGGTGCACACGATGAGGGGAAGGTAACTAGGTAACCCCCTGGGGTAATTGGTAACCCCCTGGGGTTATAGGTAACCCCCTGGGGTAATTGGTAACCCCCTGGGGTTATAGGTAACCCCCTGGGGTAATTGGTAACCCTCTGGGGTAATTAGCTACCCCCAGGCCATGCCCAAACCGGTTATGGTCTTTCCTCGTAATCGGGTCTTGTTTCAATTACTGTTTATAAATGAGGGTTGATTGTTTATTGTGGAGTCTGCTTCTGTTGGTGATTGTTGGCACTCAGATGTGCACACAACCCTCAGACGTGCACACAGAACCCTCAGACGTGCACACAGAACCCTCAGACGTGCACACAGGACCCTCAGACGTGCACACAGAACCCTCAGACGTGCACACAGGACCCTCAGACGTGCACACAGGACCTTCAGACGTGCACACAGGACCCTCAGACGTGCACACAGGACCTTCAGACGTGCACACAGGACCCTCAGACGTGCACACAGAACCCTCAGACGTGCACACAGGACCTTCAGACGTGCACACAGGACCTTCAGACGTGCACACAGGACCCTCAGACGTGCACACAGAACCCTCAGACGTGCACACAGGACCCTCAGACGTGCACACAGGACCTTCAGACGTGCACACAGGACCCTCAGACGTGCACACAGGACCTTCAGACGTGCACACAGGACCCTCAGACGTGCACACAGGACCCTCAGACGTGCACACAGGACCTTCAGACGTGCACACAGAACCCTCAGACGTGCACATAGAACCCTCAGACGTGCACACAGGACCTTCAGACGTGCACACAGGACCCTCAGACGTGCACACAGGACCCTCAGACGTGCACACAGAACCCTCAGACGTGCACACAGGACCCTCAGACGTGCACACAGGACCTTCAGACGTGCACACAAAACCCTCAGACGTGCACACAGGACCTTCAGACGTGCACACAGGACCTTCAGACGTGCACACAGGACCCTCAGACGTGCACACAGGACCCTCAGACGTGCACACAGGACCTTCAGACGTGCACACAGGACCTTCAGACGTGCACACAGGACCTTCAGACGTGCACACAGGACCCTCAGACGTGCACACAGGACCTTCAGACGTGCACACAAAACCCTCAGACGTGCACACAGGACCTTCAGACGTGCACACAAAACCCTCAGACGTGCACACAAAACCCTCAGACGTGCACACAGGACCTTCAGACGTGCACACAAAACCCTCAGACGTGCACACAGAACCTTCAGACGTGCACACAAGTCCCTCAAAACTCCCCCCCCCCCCCAGACTGAAATGCACTCACAAAAGTAGCCATTTTCTTTGGGTTCTAATTAGTGAATATATCCCATATTAAGCATATATACAGAAGAGGGGGGAAGGGGCGAGCAGCTGGTGAATATATCCCAGACACAACACGTCTCCCCGTGTTCCACTACGGGCTCACCATAGTCCGTGCTACCTTTTTGTTCGCAGTAGCTGAATCTTAAACAACAGCATTAAGCCATAGGAGCATGGGATAGGCCTAGGTGGCTATTGAAGACGCGCCACTGGTGAAAGTCGGGGATTGGGGCTTCATAGGAGTGGGGGGGGGATAATGGAGATTGTTTGGGGATACGGCAGTAAGGATTGGGATCAGTGTGGGTGGGAGAGATTGGTGAATGCAGTCCTGCCAACACACACACACACACACACACTGCTTTCACTGCAATATTGTATTCTATGCAAGACATATTGCTATCTTCACTCACTCATGTCTTCAATTTCCCATATCTTCACTGACTCTTGTATTCACTCCTCCCCCGTCCATGTCTTGGGCCTCAGTCCCTCCTGGCCAGTATGCTCTGCTCCTCCAAAGTCTTCAACTGTTTGGTTTGGTTGGGTTTACCCTTGAGGTTAAATCCCACATCCATTATCCTACAGAACCAGACACATCACACAAGATATTCCTCGCACTTTACCTGATACTTCCAGGGAGTGTATATCGCTTCCTTCCCTCGTCTCCAGAGAGTCTGAACCTGTAAAGAAAAGGATGACAAAGTTAATCCCATGAATTCAGAATCTCCGTTGTGAAGAGGGATTATATATAAGCTTAATTAACATAATTCCTCTTGCCGCTCTGTTACGGACCATTAGAAGGAACATTTACATCTCCTGGAAAAGCATCTTTAAATATTCCATCTTGGGTTTATTTGGCTCTCAAGTGTGTTACTCTGGCTCTGACGGGTTATTCATGCCCGTGCCACCTCTTGAGTGGCTTAATCTCCATCAATCAATCAATCTTCCACTGGCCCTTACACGCAAGTTGTCACTTGTTTACTGCTCTGCTTATTGTACTCCCGAGCAGTGAACTCTGCACCGGTGCTTCAGTGACCTTTTCTGGGACATGTGTGTGTGTGTGTGTGTGTGTGTGTGTGTGTGTGTGTGTGTGTGTGTGTGTGTGTGTGTGTGTGTGTGTGTGTTTACTAATTGTGCTTGCAGAATCGAGCTATTAGCTCTTGAACCACACCTTTCTAACCGATATATTTTTCCCCTATTCTGTCTACTTCATATATGTCTCTCATACACACACACACAAACACACATACACACACACGTGTGTGTGTGTTTACCTTGATGATATTAAAATGCCTCTCGAAAACTTGTACCTGCAATGTTTAACTAGCTTTCAAAAAATATATATTTTACTTCCGTATGCCTGCTGGATTATAAAATTCACCCCACATACAAACAGACATCAAATAGTTCAGAAATTCAAGTTGAAATATAGCTCCCGGGCTCCCTCCCACTCCACCCACCTCCCTCCCCTCGTGGTTTAAGGAGGCACTGAAGAAAATCACATTAGACTTCAGAGACCTCTTCTTTGTCGTCAGATGATTCGGACACTAACTTTGGTCCTCATCTTAACGAGCCTCGTGACAAGTCATCGTTGCCAACACTTACTAGCATGTGACAGTCACCTTAAATGTTGGTATTATTTTTGTGAGGCTTTTTAAAGACTTTTAATTATTGTCATTTTCTAATATTGCTTTTATTATTATTCTTATTATTATTCTTATTATTGAGATCATTGGAGCATATGTATAATATATATACACACACACACATGTGTGTGTGTGTGTGTGTGTGTGTGTGTGTGTGTGTGTGTGTGTGTGTGTGTGTGTGTGTGTGTGTGTGTGTGTGTGTATATATATATAATACATATATAATATAACAAGAGCTGCTCAATAATGCTTGATATATTAACAATTGTGTAAAACACTTCCCCTTCAATCTCTCCTATCTGGAGGAACTCAGATTAGCAGATACCAGGCAAAGCACAAACATGTGTTTTATTCAATAACATTTCCATGGAAAGCAACACACACACACACACACACACACACACACACACACACACACACACACACACACACACACACACACACACAAAGTAGAGAATAAACAACTAGGTATGATAGGGAAATGGGACAGGAGTCATTGCTGTAAACAACCGATAGCTAGAAAGGCGGGATCCAAGAGTCAATGCTCGATCCTGCAAGCACATATAGGTGAGTACATATAGGTGAGTACACACACACACACACACACACACACACACACACACACACACACACACACACACACACACACACACACACACACACACACACACACACGTGATGACATGATGAAGTTCAGAGAGCAATACAGGTATTTTGATTCAAATTTCAAGTACGTAAATACAAAATACAAGAAATCATAAATTACTACATTGAAAAAAATAATAAATTCCTACATACAACAAATAATAAATTCATACATACAACAATTAATAAATTACTACACCCAAAAAAATAATAAATTACTGCATACAAAATCATCCTCTCGTGGATCCAAATGTATAACATGCAAATTTTCCCCTGTAATATATTTGGGTGCGAAATATACTTTTCAAGATTCGTAAGTATATTTGGCAAGATTCGCAGCTTAAACACAGTATGTTTCAAGTCTTTTACACTCTGGCTGACGAATTTATTTCTATTGGTAATGAACCGTCTCTCGAGACCGTGTAAAACAGGTGAGTTTTATGGTGGGTGGAGTGAGTAGTGGTCAGTGTGTGAGTGGGGAGGTGGGGAGCGTGTGAGTGGGGAGCTGGGGAGGATAGTGGGGGTTATGTGGGGTGGAGGAGGAAAGGGTAATGGGTGTGGACAATAGGTAAGAGTGGTAGGGAGGAGAATGATAGGTTGGTAAGGATTAATAGAAGCTATAGGGGATTTAGTAGGAGAGAGAGAGAGAGACAGAGAGAGAGAGAGAGAGAGAGAGAGAGAGAGAGAGAGAGAGAGAGAGAGAGAGAGAGAGAGAGAGAGAGAGAGAGAGAGAGAGAGAGAGAGAGAGAGAGAGAGAGAGAGAGAGAGAGAGAGAGAGAGAGAGAGAGAGTGAGAGAGTGAGAGAGAGAGAGAGAGAGAGAGAGAGAGAGAGAGAGAGAGAGAGAGAGAGAGAGAGAGAGAGAGAGAGAGAGAGAGAGAGAGAGAGAGAGAGAGTGAGAGAGAGAGAGAGAGAGAGGGAGAGAGAGAGAGAGACAGAGAGAGAGAGAGAGAGAGAGAGAGAGAGAGAGAGAGAGAGAGAGAGAGAGAGAGAGAGAGAGAGAGAGAGAGAGAGAGAGTAACTAGAGGAAAAAGGGGGAAGAGATTGATGAGCTCAAGTTCAGGAAAAGACGCGAGGAAGAAAACTGAAGCGGAAAGAATTGTTGGAAGGGATAGAAGAGAGGACAAGAAGGAGAGGCACAGTGAGAGAGAGAGAGAGAGAGAGAGAGAGAGAGAGAGAGAATGCCATTCCTTATGAAAGGGGAATATGGTTTCCCATTTCTGGGGCTAAGAATAGTTAATGAGAGGCCCCCATCCCCCCCCCCCAGGGCCACGACATTCTCCAAGATGCAACCAACAACAGCTGCCTGTCTCCCAGGTGCCTATTTCCTGCTAGCTGAACAGCAGCATCAGGTAAAAAAAAAAAACGTGAAACAAACATCTCCCCCTACACGGGAATGGAACCCGGGACCAGTAGGTTGTGAGCCGACAGCGATTACTACCCCCCCCCCCCCACATGCATGGTGCAAGAGGTCAGGAGGAAACAATAAGGAAATTTGATGAAGGAGAAGACAATGAAGGCGAAAATAACTAGAAAAACAACGGAAATTACTTGATTTCAACGGGAATTGCTCATACATTGCTTGACAATATACAATACCCAATGATACAACTAATCAATTAATATATATCTATATATATATATATATATATATATATATATATATATATATATATATATATATATATATATATATATATAATATATAATAGGAACTCAAGTTTATGTTAGCTATAAAATTATTTCTATTTTAAGGTTCGGTGTTGCATTAAGGCGATTGGAACTGGTGCCTCTTGGGCAATATTTATACTGTTGCATTAAATGTTCTGCAATGAAGTCAATTGTTAATGTTGTTGCTGCCATTGTTGCAATTATTTCACGTGTTATTATAATGTTGATATTATGGGTTATGTTAAATGTTATATGGGTTAAATGTCAATGGGTCCACAGACTGTGGGAACCCATTGACACCACCTCATAGATAGGTATGTTTGGAGAACTGACACACACAGTGTATTAAATGGGTACGATCGGGGTATGGGGTAAAGTGTGATGATTGGTGGACTCGTTATTGATGACATCACGAAAACATATTACAGGCTCTCTCAAGCAAAGCACGATAGCTAAACAAAAGAAAAACATGAAAATTTTATGTACGTCAGTGGATAATATTTTACAAAATAGTGTGACAAAAATTCCGAGTCTAGTTAATATAATATTGCAAGATTTATTGTTGGGATCCCATTGGCACCAGGTCAAGTGCCACCCGATATATATATATATATATATATATATATTGTGACGATAATCTCCTTCAAGAGATTGAGCCTGCTCTTCCCTCCAAAATTACGTCTTCACAACTATATAAAAGACTATGGAAGAAATGTCCAACAACGACAACAAACACCAGCAAGGCTTGCCAGGGTGAGCAGAAACGTATGCAGCCCGCCACCTGTTCGGACCCAAATCACCAAACTACCCGTTGATCGCTACGGCTCCGCTGATTGGTCGCCGGTCTGGCTGCACCTGCACTCGCCCCCAATACTACCCGATGTCTGGGGTCGCCCCAACATCAGTCTTCAGAATGTTCCGTGCTTTCGTAGCCAGCACTCCTCCCAGCTAGACTCTAGAGTGTACTGAGAGAGGTGGTGGCTTTAAGCCAATATTCCAGCACCTCCCACTTAACTTTTGTGTTGCACTTCTTATTATTTTGCCTTAACGTAACTTTCATTGTGTCATTTCAGTATTCTTATTATTTTGATTCATTGATTTTATTATACATATTTGTTTGTGCATTATTTTCATGTTTTGATTTATTTAACGTAATTAAAATTTCATTGTTAAAGTTTTACTTGTGTTTTGTGTGTCTTCTCCTTACCTTACCACAGACGAAGTTCCAGTTTTTTCTATTTTTTTTTATAACTATGTGACGAGGCCATACCCCTAGCCTTAAACAGCCGAACACCAACGCGTTACCGTCACAAGTTTTATGGGGGCCTGTCCGGGAGCCTCACTCAGGTACTGGTGCCAAGTGGTAATTTATGGTAAGCGTATTTAACTCTGTTAACGTAGCTTTACTATTTTTCATTCAATTTCATTTTTTATAAGGTGCGGTGTATTGTGCATTACGAGAGTAACATATAGTGAAGGTGAGACAACTTTGGATTACGTGGTGACTGTAGGCCTCAGTCATACTCTTAATTGGTCATCTCTCCCTCCATGTTATTACTCGTATTTACCATCTATGTCCCTTGAATATTTCTCATTCTGACAGATCATCATATTGGTACCCTGGTACTGTGGTCTGCCCCGGGTCAAGAGTACCCAATCTTCTGCAATCTGACTGTAGGAGGACAAAGAGGGCCATAGTTCCTCTAGCTCGAACTTTAGTTGCTGAATTGGGACCTCAGCAGCAGTTCTCGTCACCAGTTGACACCTCGCACCCCTACACGTCAGTCAGAGATGATGATACATACAACGGTAGGGAATTAGCTTATTTTTTCAGAGCACAAAAGTTCGCTAATTCTGTAAGTATCATATTAAATTCAGTAGGAAAAACTTGCTTTATGTCCTATAGAGACTTGGCAAGGTATGCCTACATCCTTGGACTACCAATTTTACTTTTGAAGCATTTAACTGTTTCATTTGTTTTCGAAACTTTGTTTCATTTGTTAGTAGGATTTTCTTGCCCTTATTCTCTTACATGAGTACCGGGTACAAGATTTCCTGCGCCCTTGATTTAATTAATCATTTAATATCTTTCACTTAACGTTAATTGTTAAAGATCACACAGGATAGGTACCAGTTGCCACGTTGTCCTGTTTCTGACATTTCATTATTGAACATTCGTGTACCTTTATTTGCTAATTTCACCATGTTTCGTCTCCAAACTTTCCGTGCAAATCCAGCAGGTGAAATAGGGACTTTAAGTCGTGCCAAGAGGACTGAATTACAAACTCTTGCACATGAGTATCAACTAGAAGTTCCCTACCAAGCCAACAAAAATGACCTACACAACCTGTTGCTGGATTACTATTTAGAGCAAGGTAAGATAGACTCTGAAACTCATGAAACTTACTATATTGCAGAGAAAACTGACTTGGCAACGATGAAACTTAAACTAGAGCTGGCTAAGATTGAACGTGAGCAGCAAGAACGAGCGGCTGCCATAAGAAGGGAAGAACAAGAACGCGAAGCTGCTTTGAGGAGGGAAGAACAAGAACGAGAAATCACCCTCAGAGAACGTGAAGCTGCCTTGAGGAGAGAAGAACACGAACGTGAGGTCGCATTACTCCGGAAC